ACATACACTGGAGCTTCATTTAACCTCTCACTTCTGTATGGGAATCCTGCAAGAAACTACTCATTACAACTACCCACACATACCACACCCTGCTTCTTTACAGACACCTACCCATTAACAAAAATAACAATAAAAAAGCCCCCTAGGGAAATACGCTTCTGAGAACCTGTTTTGCTAACATGCTGTCACTGTGAGACATACATAATTAACAAAAGCTATGCCACAGCAATTTTTTTTTACTATTATATGTTCTGTTAAAGGCAAAATCTTATTTACTAAGATAGGTATTTAGAAAAACAGACATTAATCATGTAGTTGATGATTGCAGGCTAATGCCTTTTCCTAGGCAGCTGTCAGTCTGTACCCTGGCAATCTCCTTTATAGCTGTCTTACATTGCTTTTGGAACAGTAAGTATCATTAGCAGAAAGAGAGATGGAAATCTTACTACAGTTGCTGTGTGTCTGACTTTTTTCCTTTTTTTTTTTTTTTTTTTTTAAGATGCAACAGTCTCTTAAAGCTTCCAGCTACTGAGGTAGGTCAGTCACCAACAGAAAAAAGTGATGCAATGCATTTTTCAAACTCCAAATGTAAGTAAAATTTGGGTCTTCCCTGTCATTTTTACTTTGAATTGTCATACCATGCTTGTGTTTCCATGTCAGTAATTACTAAAACTGTAGATTATTCTTCAACTTCTTTTGATCGTTTTTGTTGGGTTGGTTTGTTTGTTTGTCGGTTTGTTTGTTTGTTTTTCTGTTTCACAGTATGAGAATTGAATCTTATTGTACTGAAATAAGATTGCTGGATTATATAATGTTTCCAGTGTTGTCAAGTAGAGGAACTGGAAAGTCCCAAAGCCAGTGCTTACAAAAGAGAGTTCAATTATGTTCTTAATTGAAGACACAGACTCAAAAAATGACTGCAGGTTTCGTTCGGCAGGAAACAGTCACGGAGGTTTGAACTTTAAATTGCAATTAGCTGAACTTTCAGTCTTACTGGAAAGATTCTCCAAGGAAAACCCCTCTTTCTCTCAGTTGCTATTTCACTTTACTGTCTGCGAACTCATTCATATGATGAGCTGCTCTGCCGTCCCTTGGGCGTGGGCAGCTCCAGCAGCCGCGGCAAGGGAGGAAAATCACAGCCAGCTGCTACTGATACTACTGCTGATGCACTGTGGGGAGGCTTGTGATTGAGTGGGGAGGAAATAGATAAACTGTCAGGACTGACACAATCCTCTTTGCCACCCCTATTAGCAGCACCCACAATGGTCACTGATAATTACAGTGTCTGATAGCTTTGAAATTATTATTACCTCTCTGGGAATGAGAGCTGTTTGTTAACAGCTGATGGACTTCTGGTCTAGTCTGGAAAATTACTAGCAGCTACACCAAACTGGCTTCATGCCTACAATGATCCATAACCCATAGAGAATTGTCCAAACCACCAGGTATATCACAAAGAAACCCCAACAGGTAAAGGCAAAGAGCAAAATAGACTGCGGATGTGAGTTTTACTTAGTAGCAACTCGGAAGTTTGAACTTCTCTAGTTTAAGAATTCAGTTTAATGCTGAAAAATTAAATTTGATAAGCATGCTCTCAGATACCAGCTGATGCTAAAATATGATGTGTTTTGAACACCATTAATTGTTCCAGTACAATGCTGTATTGTTTTCCAAGTAGGTAAGATTACTGTCGTGGGTCATGTTTGTTTCACGGTTATCCTCACTGTATTTCACAGGCAACTATGTACATTTAGCCTTGGTCCTGGAAAAAGCAATTTTAGAGGAGAGTTTTGCTGAACTCCTTCCCTTGCTGTCTAACATAGCATTCTCTTGGAAAGAAAAAAAAGAAAAAAAAAAAGAAATAAAAAGACCAAAACCAAACAGTGATTTACAAATAACAGAATACATGTCATATCATCTCCTACCTCAGCTGTTTTTTCAAACATTTATCCTTCATTCTGGAATGGAAATATGAGGCAAGAAGACCAGAAAGCAGATAAAGAAGCCTTTTTGGAATTACAAAAAACTTCTAATTTCTTGGACTGATTAATCCTCTTCTTAAAAGCTCTACACTGTTTTTTCTCTGCTTCTCTACAGTGCATTTTACTACCAGTAAGCTGTATTCAGAACTAAAATTATCACATCTTTTCAACAAGCATTTTAGCAGTAATGAGCTCATGCTGTTTATCTGTCTATCATCATCTCATCCTGCTGGCACATTCTTGATACAGAATAGAGCCTCATGCATCTATAGGTGAAAAATGAATAACTGCAATATTCATACTGTCTTCAACTCAGGCCTATAAAAGTCATGGAAACTGTTCTGAAAAGAAAGATATGCCACATAAGGATGAACAGTTTGTTTAACTTTGGCTCGAGCTACTAGTGGTTTTAAAAGCATTTACTTTGAAAAGTTCTTCCTCAATTGTATGATGCTATCTGTCCTCATTAAGGCCTTTCTCTGACTTCCTGTTTTCAAGGTAATGGCTCTTCATTGTGGTGAAGAACACCAGTAACTAAAGAATCATCAAACATTTCTGCAAAGACTGCAAGACAATCCTCTGCCATGGTTTGTTGGCTCTATGTGTGAGAGTATTTCAAGGGGAGCCATATAACCCTTCCAGTAAACAATGACGGAAAGTTCAAGTGACTGCTAATAAAGTCTAGTTACTTTGTAGCTTTGGGAAAATAGCCAAAAAACACACTGTAAGGACTGAGTGAAAATAAACTAGCACAAAGAGCTTCTTCAACCTGCTTTATTTAAAAATTTGCAGGATAGATACATAAACCAAGAGGCAGGCAGGTCTTCTTGGTGACTTACTGACAGCTATGGTAGCCCTGCCTCAGAGCCTTACCTTGTAATGGGACTCTGGACAACCTCTCCAGTGCTAATAGCTAAGCTCCTCCCTCCCACTGGTAGACTCATTCACTCTCTTTCCATTTCATCTTTACTATTACTTCTGTTCCAGTTTCTTCCAGTTGGGTGGTCAAAATTCCAGGATTTGCTTTATGTTAATCAAGTAACATTTTGGGAGAAATATTTTTACGAATATGTAGTGCTCACTGGAAAAAATCAGGCCCAGAAACGTTCACCAAGATGTCAGCATCTGTATCCTCCTGGATTCAGACTACTTAGACAACAAAAGTCATATTAACACGAAGACTACCCCTGGCTCATCTGTCAGTGACAGTAGGGTCACAATAGCACAGAACTCAGGATGATTAAGTTTTTCAGCTTTCTCTGTGTCTGCTTTTTCCTTCTGTAATCATGTTAGCAGTAATACCAGGTCGTCTTTGATTTCATTAAATCGTCTACTAAAAGAATCAAAATTCCAGTTCAGGAGTTTTCCAACAGCAATGACCATTAGTATGCGATACACAGTAAAATCACTGGCTTAAAAAAGAAAACACCACCATCAACTGCTGTTTTGAAGTCATTACTGACTACAAAGTCATGCTGGAATGTAGCTCATACCAACTAAAATATATTGTAGCTATAGTCTAATACTTTACCGAGCCATTAAAGAAACATATGCCCCACAGGGGTTTATGTTTTGTTTGACATACTTTTTGTAACTATGCTGAAGACTAACTAGATTATGGGGCTTTCTGTTATGCCTCACTGTAAAGTGCATTACTCCCAGAGTCAGTGCACACCCTGATTCTTTAGGACACTCCAGGCAGCTCATAAAACAAAAATCTGTTGAGCATTTGGTAAACAAATAATTATAATACTTACAAAGTGCACAGACTTGAACCAAGCCAAGGTCTTAAATATATTTCTGATATACTTCATTTGTCTGCACTAGTCCTGTCCTTTCTCTTAAGGCTTTGTTCATATACCTGACCTTAGCAAGAGCATTTTGGTACAAGAGACACACAGTTTTAGAATGAAAAGCAATGAGGGTGCTTCAGCTATCATAGATGCACTGGGAACTTGTTCACTCTGACACACCCATTCACAGCCCTCCAGTGCTGCAACCATTATAGAAGTATCCACTGCTGCTCAAACAAATTAGATACATATTTACCTTACACACACATAGCCTTTGGGTGACAATGGCCATGAAAAATGTATTTTGTTAGACTCCTGGAACTGATGAGTAGAAAAATAATGTAGAAGTGCAATTGTTATCCCTAACCACAAAATGCCTTGAGGCAGTTGCAGTCACAGTGAGAGTCTGTTAGAAGTATGCTCATTTCCCTGAAACATGGTTGAGCCTGCACCATGTGAAATTTCAAAAGCTTTTTGTCCTTTTGGACACAGAATTATTTTTTTCCTCTGTATTAACATTTCATTTTTAAATACAAATATTTGAAGCAGATAACCAAGCTACAGTAAGTTAAACAACTATATTTTGTGGTCACTTCTAACCCCCTTTGTTCCAAAATCCATCAGTCAGCTCTAAAGAAACCTCAGAAAGTCAGAAACAAGCATGTTTGGCATAAAAGCTCGTCACATTTCAGTCACAGATCGCTGCAGTTTTGCTTCTGTTCAGCTGTGTCCAAATTCAACATGTATTAGCTGTTGGTTCAGCTCTTGTAAACTCAAGAATGCAGTTGTTGTGTGCTGGAGGAGGTGTGTGTGTGTGTGGGGGGGGGTGTTCATCCCCATTTTGCCCTCCCCCCATCTTTTCTCCATAGTGTGAAATGGAGCTGGGAGAGCAAACTAAGTATGTAACAGCAGTCACATTGTCGAAATGAGCTTTACCAGAGCCACTCTAAATTCCCTAAGGTAGTTCTGTTCTTAAACTTCACTTTAATGATCTACAATTTACTTTTTACAGATTTGGAACTGCCTTTTACAAGCAATACACAGCTTTCTGTGACTGTACAGACCAGCACAACCGAGAGTACAGGTCTAAGGCATCTCTAATAACACTCAAAAATAATAAAACTATATAGATGCAAGAAAGCTGTTAGCTGTCTAGCAGAAGAGCACTTGCTGTCTGAAGCATAAACTTAACAATCATAAGTGTTTTCATTCATAAAAAACTTACGTGTTTCTGTTAGACAAAGCTTCAGCAAACATAATCCAAAAGTTGCCCATAAGGAGAAGTTGGCCATTGTTTCCTTGGAACTGTTTTGCAAAATCCAAAGATCCTTGCAAGCTGCAGGAAGAAGAAAAGCCCCGACGCTTGTTAAGCCTGCAGTCAATGAGTCTGAAGTTTGCTGCACTTTTTATTCTGATTCAAAGGAACTGAAGTAATGACATAACTGGGAGGGGGAGCTCCATCAAAAGTCACACCCATATTGCAACAAAAGTTACCCAGCAGTAGGAGAAGGCGGGGGGGATGTGGGAGGGAACTAGTACTGACTAAGCAGCCACACTTGAGTTTTAAAGAGGCACTGAACCTCTTCTTCTTACACAAATAGAGTCAAAAATTATACTTTATGTGCTTGCAGGAAAAATTGTGTGATCTCTCCTCAGTCAGCTCAAAAATGCACTCATAAGCTTTCCCTCCTTCATTTTAAAATCTTTTCATTATAGCAAAAAAAGCAATTCTGAACTGCAGCAAAGCATCTATAACAGCCTAGACCTTTCCCAAAATTATTTGGCTTATTTAGTCCCACCTCACCCTTTTCTGTTTTGTTTTGTTTGTTTGTTTGTTTTTGTAGGTCAATTTAGACCAAGTAAAATGCCTGCTCTGCATTGAAGCTTTTTGTTTTTGCTCATTGCCAGAGGATAACCTCATGCAGAAGGTAAGTTAAGCCAGTTAAGTCTCCCACAGCACGTCCCAGAGACTTCTCTTCACAGGCTACTCCAGCCAGAGTAGCACATAATGCCAGTGCCAGCAGTGATACTGAGGATTAAGGTTGATATTTTATTGCACTAATGGTATAAGGCACAGAAGGAATTATTCCTTATATTCCCAATTCACAAAGCAGAGAAACGGGATGAAAAGGTATGACATCTTCGATGTTCAGGCAAGGTCTCAGTTCCTGAGGGACAGATGTTCACTGCAGTGTGGGGTTTTGCGTGACTCTAGATGCCAGATGAAGTCCCTGGTGAAAACCCCAAGGCCTCTGCAGATAAGCAAAAGGGGTGTCTGTTGTGTACCTTAGTGATTTCCAGTGGTGTCTCCATGCACTGGCCCCTCCTCAGAGCTGCAGAATTGCGACAGTGGTTTGTGTGCCGTGGAATGAGGGGTTCGTCAGGGATCACCAAAGCCAGTACACCTCAACTTTAACAACCAACATGTGGCAATGACTGACAGCCAGAAATGCCCTGATTTCTGTTTCACGTGCCAAATTCGGAATGAATACTCCTGTATCAGATTAACATTTTGTCCATCTTCCCACTTGAAAGAATTTTCTCATTAATTTTTAATCTCTGTGAACACAAACAGTGGAAAAATACAGATAGGTCCTTCCAGTCATAGGCATAAGAAGTTCACACAAAGAAGTTTTCAGGACTTTGCCTTTTCTTTGACTTTTTACTTAGAGATGGCTGGATATCCTTTCCTCAATGAGCCAAATTTTTAGCAAGAGGTTCCAACAGGCTTTTCCTACAGGTCTAGAATATCTGACAGGACAAAGTTAAAGTGAAAAATCTTTCCTAATAACACGGAGGAATCTTTTCATTAGGAAGCTAGCTATTTTGAAATTACAGATAAAAACCATTTTCTTTAGTTAATATACTACTTTTTCTTTTGAAAGAAATGGCTTCAAAAGCAATTAAAAAGCAATCTCCTATACACCTTACTGTCTATATTAGTGGACAGAGAAATATTTCTGTGAATTTCTATACATTTATATCCATAAATGTTTTGGCATCAAAATACATGAATGAAGTTTAGTGGCATTTCAAATGCTGGTGCACAGTTAATAAATGGTTTAAATTTACTAAGCATGTCTTTTTCTTCAGTTGTTAAAATACATTTAAAAGTCATACCTATGGATGGAACAGAAAAATTGAATATTTAATTAAAATGTAGGTAATTTTGAGTCTTATTTTTGATGAATGTAATTACCTCTCTGTTAATGTCCTGAATTCATAATTATGGAGAATTTAAAAAATGAAAATAGTCAGTACTTCTGCATGTGTTTGGGGATGTGGGTGGCATTCCACTTTGGAAAGACTCTGTCTTCTTTGTTGCCCTATAAAACTGGGCTAAGATTAGACACATTTAGACAAGGTGTATGAAGGTGCTTAGTACCCAATGCAAAAGGAAAAGAGAGGTGTACACAAGAAAAATAATTGATCATGGTACGTCATTTCATGCGATAGTTCACAAAAATAGTAATGAACGGTATCTATACAACATAAATTTTTCCAGTTCACATTCCATCTGCCTACTTACACATCAACCTAAGACACACATTTGCATTCCAATAAAAAAAGTGACACAAAAATACCTCCTTCTTTCCCACCCAAACATGGTCAACAGGTGTTGGTCTGAGGTAGACAGCAGACCAAATTTAGCCTGGTTGCAGGGCCTAATGCTGCCCAGAAAATTTAGTCAAAAGAGATGTACCACTGTGGAAAAAAGTGGTTTGGGGGGTTTTGATTGGTTTTGTTTGTTTGTTTGGCTTGCTTTGGTTTGGTTTGGGGGATTTCTTTGTGAGAAATACATAACTTTTCTTTTAGTTTGACATAATCTTAGTACCTAGGGACAGAAAAATCTAAGGCAAATCTGCAGCTGAAGAAATGCAGCAGAAGTGAGCCTTTAATAAAGTTAAATATTTGAGGTTTAGGGATTTGCTTACTCCCTTTGCAACAAGCAGCTAAAATAGTGGCACAAAAAATTTGTAAAATAATTAATGGTACCAAATGAATTAAGTTTACAAAAGAGAATGAAACAATAAGACTAAAAAGGATAACCCCCCAGCATTTTAAAAAGTGTTTTTTCCGTGACGCCTTTGACACCTTGAATATTGAATCTATGATGGCACAATATAGTACAGCAACACCAAAATAACTAATTTGTGATTTTATCACATATGTGAGCTGTAGTCAGCACTAATTAATTTTGATAAAAATCTTATTAGGGAATACATGTGTTGCAGCCCTAGAAAATGAACATGCACTGCTTACAGTGATATAAAAAGATGATTTTTTGAGAATTCCCACAGAGGATGAAAGTTTGGCCTGGCTGAACTGAAAGACCAAAATTCCACTGAACTCAGTGGGGCAGCCTCTCCCTGTAACATATAACTGAATTTTATTATGTGGACAGACAAGAAAATGAATGTATCTGAATGAACCTGTAGTTACGATGGAAAAAAAAGGTACCAATAGAGACTAATTTCACTATCAAATGGGAACAATTGAAAGAAGGCTAGAATGGAATTCTGTTTCTGTGAAAATAGCTGGCATTTCTCTTATGAAAATCAGAAATTTATGAAAAAGGAAGCTCCTAATTTGAAATATTTTTTCCTATTACTAGCAGAAATACCTTTTTTTCAATTAAAAAACAATTTTCTGAACATATTTTGGTAGATATTTCAAGCTTGTTATGGGGAGTTGAAGAACACAGTCTTGGTGAATATAAAAAGCTCAGATCTCATTAGGTAATTCTGGTCATGGCTGTGTATATTTTGCATAGACCACAGGTGATCTGAGAGACTGGTTGAAAATCAGATTTGGGGGAGCAGGGAGGATTTTATACGCACTTAGCTGTAATAACAATAAAATATGTTATTTCTAATAAGATTTCCTCCTTGTCCCTGGACTGCAATCTCGTTTCCTGCATTTCAGACTGGATTCAATTTCAGACTAGATTTAATTTTCATTATCAATCCTGAAAACAGGTTTTGTAATGGAACCAGTTGTAAATGCTTCAGTGTGGCAAATCTTGTACTGCACACTTTTCTTGGGCTGAGAGCTGATGGGAAGGCATAAGAAGAGCCTGTGCCAGTTTAAGCAAGAAAAGCTCCTCTTTTGGCTGGAGGGCAAAGCACTCCTTTGGGAAGTTGAGAGCCCGGTTCTACTCCCATCAACCTTTTGTTCCTAGACGTAATTTACAGCCTGTGTCCTGCAGAGAGTTAGGAAGATGAACAATGGTTCCTACTTGTTTACTTCTAAAAAAGGCAGCAACCCAGATTGGCACCTACCGTGTGGATTCATCAGCCTGTTTTACTGGTTTGCCCCAGATCCCTAAACAACTCACTAATCCAACACAGGCAAAAATCTTAACAGCCAGAATCGCTCAAGTAGGCCTTAAGAAACACTTTGCAGCAAGGTTTCTCCTGTGGCAGACCTTGTGGCCCCATCAGCTTTCTTGCTCCTAGCACCACCCCGATGCACAGTCTCTGGCTGACCCACATCTCCCAGCAGTGCACAGGCAGCAAATCCCAGTGCCAGTCCCCACTGGCAACATCAACACCACTATACCCAGTTAGTTACCACGTTTTTGTTGGAGATGGAGTAGGAAATCTGCACGCAGCAGCTGCCACCAGCTGTCCAAGCGTGCAGCAGAGACACACAGAATGCATTAGTGAGTCATAAGCAGCTGTGTAGAGGGCTGGGGGTGGGGGGAATACAGGAGAAACTGAGGGGAGAAGGGAAGACACGTGTTCTCTATAGGTGGCTTCTGTCTGTCTCCACCCCTCCTTCCCCCTGGTAGGCCTTCCTAGCACACACCATGCAAGAAGACCCTCAAACTGTTATATCTGACCATGAGCTGCCATCTTTGTGCTAAGCATTCTCTATTCCCACTTTCATTTCTTTTGTTTGCAATTACACAACAGAAAAATCAAGCTTATCCTAAGCTGTCTTGAGGATACACCGTTTCTCTCCTCCCTCACTATCTTTCCCACTGTCTTTCCATTTTCTTCCTTTTGATTTTGCTTCTTGACTTCTACTTTGACTTCTCTCTCCTGTCTCCACTCATTTCTCCTTTTTCTTAGACCCCATCCTTTCTCATCCACTCTCTCTTCTGTGCAGCATATTGGAATTATTAAATAAAACATTTAAAGCCCCAGAAGAGCAGGTGAGCTTTTCAAAATGCAAACATTCATGAAACTCAGGAAACACTTCCTATTTGCATAACCAAACAGTTAACTGTAACCTACAGATAAACACTTAGGGGCTCTTATGCCTAATATGGACCTTCCCAGAGCTATTCAAAGTCAAAGGAGGTTTTCTACTGATTTTGAGGAATTTTGA